GGGAGGGAGGGAGGGAGGAGGTGAATGAGTAAGGAGTGGGAGTGAACGAGGAATATGAGTGAGTGAGGGGGTGAGAGGCTGAATGAGGGAGTTGAGTGAAAGTGAGGGAAGGGTGAGAAGGGGTGAGTGAATGAGCAGGGTGAGTGAGGGTATGTGTGAGTGAGAAGTGTGGAGGGGGTGAGTGAATTAGTAGTGGGAGTGAGGTGTGAGGAGAGGAAGTGAGTGAGTGGATGAGTGAGGGGATGAATAAGGGTGAGGTCGTGAGAGTGAGGAATGAAAGGGGTAAGTGAGCAGGTGAGAGGGGCAAGGGAGTGAAGAGGTGAGTGAGCAGGTGAGAGGGCTGAGTGAGACAGTGAGGGAGGAGTGTGAGGGGTGGGTGAGTCAATGAGGAGTGTGAGTGAATGAGGAGTGTGGGTGAGGGGTGAGAGGCTGAATGAGGGAGGGAGTGAGAGTGAGGGAAGGGGTGAGTGAATGAGAAGGGTAAGGGGATGTGTGAGTGAGGGCAAGGCAGTGAGTGGATGGGTGAGTGAGTGGTGAGAGGGGTCAGTGAGCAGGTGAGAGGGGGCAAGAGAGTGAGGGGGTGAGTGAGGGGTATGAGACGGCTGAGTGAGACTGAGGGAGGAGTGTGAGGGGTGGGTGAGTGAATTAGTGTGAGTGATGGGGTGAATGAGTGAGCAGTGAGGGGTGAGAGCGAGGGGATGGGTGAGTGAGGACTGTGAGTGAGGGCAAAGGGAGCAAAGTGAGTGGGTGAGGGAGTGAGCAGTAAGGAGTGTGAGGGAGGGTAAGTGAAGAGGTGAGTGGGGAGTGAGAGGGTGAGTGAGGACGAGGGAGTGAGGAGGTGAGTGGGGGGTGACCTGAGTAGGAGGTGAGTGTGTGAGGCGGTGAGTGAGACAGTGAGTGATTGAGGCAGCAAGTGAGACAGTGAGTGATTGAGGGGTGAGTGGGGCAGAATGGGATGGAAGTAATTAACTTCGTTAATTAGCATCTGCACAAAGTGTTGAACACAACCAACAGGTATGAGCAAATGATAGGTTAGGTGTGTAAAAAGTGCTCTAAGGGCTCCCTCAGTGTGTGTCTCTCTGTACATGCACCCGTGTGTGTGTGTGTATATATATATATACACATACACACATATGCACACCCCTGGGTACCTGAGAGTCCAGCAGTCTCCACACCACAGCAGGTTAAGCCCGTCCTGTCTGATCTGTCAGAAACATGGAGCAGATAAATGCTTGAAGAAGGAAAGACAGAAAACTATTGGCAATGCTACACAGAACTCACTAGCTAGAGACTCATGGAATCAATTCAGGTTTGGAAAATACCTCAGAGATGTTGGAATCCAACCCTTAAGTTTGGATTTCCCTGCCCTGTGTATTTTTGTGTGTTAATAGCCATGGATATATGGCTGTTGTTTCCTCAAACACTGTTTGGGAACAAGTTCATCAGTAGCTTGGCATGTGGTTGTGTTATGAAGCCACATCTAAACCTTCTACAATTTGCACAAATACAGATTGAGCTCTAACCACCAGAGGAAAAAAAAAAAAGCTTAAATGGCCTGTAAATGGTGCATATTAATTTTTTTGTTATCTGAAAGGCTTTTGGTGGTGACCAAAGCTGCAGGCAGAGTGGTGGCTCTAATCTCACTCAGCAAGAATGAATTTAGGTATTCTATTTTCTGTGCTTTAATTAATTCCTAACATGACACAAGCCTATATTAGCTCTTGTGTGCTGTTTTTCATCGTCAGCCCCAACAGCATTTTATACTGGGGTGCAATTAAAACACACCTTGATGTCCACGCTCATATGGACACACTTCAGACATAACATGTCCAACCTCATTAGTCAATGTGATGCATCTTTATTGCATTGAAGTTGTACACACACACACTTGGACATGTATTATTGCAGTGTTTTATGAATTTTGGAAGCAAATGAACCAACAATGGCTTGAAGATGATTAAAGACACAGAATGTGGAGCTACACGGATTCACGATGCTTAAATAATGAGTTTTAAAGAGGAAATCATCCCTGATGGATTGGGATCATTGGTGAGCACAAGCACTGCTTTAAGAAGCAAGGATAAGTCTTTGAGGAAAGAATTTATAAACTTAGAAGGAATTTTTAAGCAAGCACAGAGTGTTCATGGCATTGCACATGGTTTTACTTTTACACATCTAAACCAGGACAGTGCAGAGAAAAGGATGACCTCTTTAGGAGAAACATCTGTGTTTTGCAATCCCTGCTGCAGAAAACAGGCCTCTGAGCATTCCCTGGATGAGAAAACAGGATGCTATGTGGTGTTTGAAACAGGATCTTTTATATTAAGATACAAAAATATACTGTGTTAAAAGTTAACAGAAATAAATTCCTGAGGAGCAGGACAAATGTTGGTTGGGACGGAAACTGATGGTTTGCATCAAGAAGCCTCCTTGGGCTTCCCACTATGTCCATACACACCATAAGGTTACTGGAAAGAGTTACCTGTTGGTGGTGAATCCCTGAAACGATTATATCTATGCCTGGAGCTCAGTGGAGTTTTTAAGAGATGGAAGTCACAACAGCATCTAAAGGCAAATTACACAGATGAGTTCCTTGCTGTGTTGTGACTTCAAGTCATGCTCTTAGTGCATTTAACATTTGGGGGTTATTCTTTATATTAGGCTTGAAAAATGAGGTGCTGACGGGTTTTGGCTTGTTGGAAAGTGCCCAGAGCTTTGGTGTTCAGGGCTTGACACCATCAGCCAAGGAATTATTTCCTTGACAATGACATGCTTTATCCTCTAAGGACAAATCAATATATAAAGGGTCAGATGACTAAATCAGTGGAATAACTTCATTTCAGAGAAGCTGAATGTTAATATAAATCTGCTGCTACACAACTTAAACCATGTAAAAATGTATCTTTTTAGTAGCACTGAGCTCTGTGCCTTGAACCAGAACTATCACTTAAATCCATGGGACTTGTCTCTGAATGTTGATTTTCATTGTAAAAATCATCTAAAAATTTATTTTAAACCTGAAATAATAATTTAAAAGTCTTTAGATAAAGACAAGCTTCAATGGGTCTCTTGAGATTTTCATACAGGTGTATGAGATGTTTTGGGATGAAGAGCTAAGACAGCAAATTCACACCTGAAACACTTTCCCTGCTCCCCTTTCTGTGGGCCCCTGAAAGAATGATTTTGGTAATTTTAATGACCAACTCCTATTCTGAATTCAGTATTAATTAAGATAGGCAGTATTGATTAAGATAGTACAGAGAAACATTCCTTCAAGTCATACACCCATTGTGCAACAAAACCTCCTGAAGGCAAAACCACTTAAAAGCAAGAAGTCACTTTATAGACAATTCAGGTTTTGATGCTTTTCCAAGAGTTTCTTCACTAGTGTCTCTAAGGAGAAGAGGTGCTCATCCACATCTTCTGGCATGAGGTTTCTGATGGAGTCAGCCAGCTCAAACAGGTACTCTGTGTTCCTCCCACTAGGCCCAGCTGCGCTGAGGATCTGCTGGGCAATCTCCTCCAGTGGCGCTGGCCCGAGGTAGTTGGGGTTGTCACAGGTGCCAATGTACAGCAGAACGTCAAAGGGCTCCACTGACGCGTCCTTGGGGTGGAAAATGACAGTGGTGGTCCTGTAGCCTCCTTTCTCTCTGAAGTCCAGGTATGCCTTCACTTCACCTTCCTGCCCAGCTGGCAATCTGTAGGCAATGCCCCACACACATCCCTGTCCAAAGAAAACCCAAGCTGTGTTTAAAAGGATACTAAAAATTAACATGTTTAGGCAAAACTTTGAAACAAACTCATTTTATTCCCTTTTGCACTTAGAATCGCAGAATTACCAAGGTTGGATGAGATCTCTGAGATCATGGAGTCCAACCATTGGCTGCTGTAACCCCTAAATCATATCCTCCAGCATCAGATCCAGATGCCTCTTAAACACCTCCAGGGATGGTGACTCCACCACCTCCCTGGGCAATATGTTTCAGTGCCTGACCACACTAACAGGGAAAAAGCTTTTCCTATCATCTAATCTGAGTCCCCCCTCTCTCAGTTTATAACTGTTCCCTCTAGTCCTCTCCCTGCAGTCATGGCAGAAGAGATCATCCCCCACCTCTCTACAACCCCCTGTCAGGTAGTTGTAGAGAGTGATGAGGTCACCCCTGAGCTGCCTCTTCTCACAGCTAAATAAACCCAACTCCCTCAGCTGTTCCTCATACGACATGTTTTCCAAACCTTTTCTGAGGCTCGTTGCCCTTCGCAGGACTTGCTTCAGCACCTCAATGTCCTTTTTAAATTGAGAGGGCCAATTGTCTTATGGCTGTTTCCTGCACTGGTTGTACAAAGTCCCAGAAATAAAAGGGCTGCTTTGTTTAGGCTATTTTCAGTCAAAACGGTGATTGATCACCTTCTTTCTTGCTAATGCTGAAGCCTTTCTGACACATTGCTTGCTGCAGTGACATTTGAAGTAGTAAATGTTGCCCACTAGGGGGACAAAATATCTCCCTGACCTCACAAAATTTATACCTGAAAATTAAAAATGTAAATATGCCAAATTCGAAGGAATTTTCATCAGGTCCTTTCTGTGTTTAGTGACAGTTTCATTGCCAAGGACCTGAGTATCACCTACAGCTGTTACATGTCCTTGGAAGGATGAATTTGGTAACGTTACTGTGCTGAAAGTGAATTGCTGTAGTCTGCTGAGATACCTTCAAAATCAGGTTACACCTTGTTCAACTGCAGGGTGTGAAGCTGAAATTAAAGCAGATTTGTTGTATCATTTGATATTTATATCAAATGTTCTATGTTTATACAAAATTCTGCATCCTACAACTAGATAACCAAAGTGACTATTCCAAAAAAGACTTTAAAATATCCCCTTGGTAATAACAGACCCAAACTAATTCCAGTTTCTTAGTTTTGACTGATTATTTGAAACAATCAAGAGCCATTGGTGTAACTCCAAGATACACTGAGAGAACTTCTCCCTAAAGATACCACAGGTATTTGCTTGTAGGGAAGCAAGTAACAGGGACTGAGAATGCAACAGGAAATTCTGTACACGGAGACAGGTCTACTGTACCTCAGCATCTTCAACCAGAGTCACAACTCTTCCAGGCTGAAATTGGGAAGAAATCATTCAGTTAGAGGCTTTTACCTTAAATCAAGAGCAAAACCAAAGCAAAGCAAGAAAAGAACAATGAAGGGGAATGAAAGGCTCGGGGAACTAATCCAGGACAATCCCAATGAGGTATAGATCCAGTATAAATATTTCCTGAGAAAAACTTTTGATCTGTTTCAGATAAGTGAAATGTTAAATTCTGAATGCAAAGTGCTGCAATGCAGAAGTTAAATGAAGGGCAGCCATAAACAAAAGGAGAGTTTGAATGTTCTTTGCTGTCCAGAACTAATTCTATTCCTGTTTAAAACAGTGATGATTAATTAACAATACATAACAGTAATAATTAACAGTTTCATTAATGTAAAATTCTCCTCAAGGAGCCCCGGGGCCTTACTGGGCAGAGGGAGGATACCTTGGAAATGGCATGTTTTTCCTGGGAACACCAGTAAGAGCAAGAAGCCAGTTTGTAAATAGTGAAAATAAAATTGTTTTGGGAAGCTTTTCCCATAGCCATTAATATTTCCCTGACTTGTGCACTCAATCCTGGCCACAAAGATTTTTGTGCATTATGGGTTAGAGACATCCTGTGGTGGAAAACAACTTTCTTGTTACTGGATGCCTGTAGCTGCAGCCTAAATTAATGAAATTTCATTTAAATTGCGATCAGTATGAAATACTGAGGAGTATTCATCTTCAGGTGGGTTGTGTGATGGAAGAAGGATCTGTTTACCTAGGGAAGGGCACAGGATGTTTCGTGTATTGGTTTGCACAGTCCTTGTCTTTCCTGGAACCACGCAAAACAAACATTAAGGAACAAATTACTAAATACTGACAAATTCCTTTTTGTACAACTGGGAATTACCCTCTGAAACGTTTTTTTAATACAGCTAATGTGTAAGTTGCCATATGTTTTTAAGAACTTTTTCCTCCTTTATTGCGCTTCTTTTAACATGTCGGGACTGAAGGAGCAGTTTCACTTGTGGCTCCAGCTGTTACCTTTAAGCACAGTTATTTTACGGTGTTTGAGGTTCTCACTAGTGTTATTTACATTTAGACTGAAACATTCCACGCTACAGGTAGCAAGCTGTGTCGTTTGGTTTTTTTCTTATATTTTCCTGGAGGAGGAGCTCTTTTAAAGCCATATTGAGGCTAACAGTGGAGTGACCTGGGTGCAGGTTAGCCTTATCCTCACTCCTGCGGTTTATAAACACGTGTTTGCATGACATTGATAATGCTCACTTTGGCATTTTAGTTTCTTTTTCTTGCTGGTTTTTTTTTTTTGCTCCTTTTCCAAACAGTTTTTAAATATTTCGTCATCCACAGATTTTCATCTGAGAGTAAGTAAGTTGGAATACAGCAAGGTGGTTACTTAGGTCAGTTCTGCCCTGTCCTCGCCCCCCTGCACAGCCTGCGCGCGCCCCGCGCGCTCTGCCCTCGGCTGTTTAACGCCCAAAGTAACAAACGCGGTCCTCGTTTAGGCGTTAAAGCGGACCCGTGGTGACTTCTGTCCCCGCTCCTCCCCTCCCTAAAGCCCGTTCTGCAGTTTGCTGGGGCTC